TGTGTCCGCCAAGAACTAAAAAATAAATATTAAAAATTCTCTCTCTCTCTCTTTCTCTCTCTCCTCTCTCATTCTCTCTTAAAAAAAAAAAAAAAAGAGATTTTTTTTTTTTTTTTTTGCTTATACTCTGAGCCGGAAAAGATAACTTATTTTCTGACTAAAGTAATCCCATAAGCAATTATATACCTTCTTAAATTAATAAAAAAATATGAGGTCAGGTATGGGGGCAAGAAAGATGGTGGAATGAGATGGACATTATTACCCTAGGTACATGTAGACTGCACATATGGTGTGACACTACATTGTGTACAACCAGAGAAATGAAAAGTTGTGCTGCAGTTGTGTATAATGAATCAAAATGCATTCTGCTGTTGTATATACACCTAATTAAAATAAATAAATTAGTAAATACGAGGGCTGGGGCTGTAGCTCAGTGACAGAGCGCTTGCCTAGCATATGTGAAGTGCTGGGTTTGATCTTTAGCACTGCATAAAAATAAACAAAAAAATAAAGGCATTCTTCCATCTACAACTACAAAAAATTAAAACAAACAAACCAAAGTAATATATATCATATGGTTTTCAAATGAAGTACAGAATGGCTTAAAATTCTTAGACCTATTTCCAAGTGGAAACTTAAAAAAAAAAAACAAAACTCTTTAGCTTTAGTTTTTTTGGTGCTTATCTACATATATAAATGCTTACTGGAGTTTTTTAATAGTTGGTGTTAGATATCTGTATCTCACTATGGTAGACGAATATTTAGCTGACACTTCTACAGCCTCTGTTTTTTTAAAATTAATTTATTTATTCTAATCAGTTATACACGACAGCAGAATGCTGTTCGATTTATTGTACACAAATGGAGCACGATTTTTGACTTCTCTGGTTGTACTCAAGTAAGGTTACACCATTCATGCAATCAAACATGTACCCAGGGTAATGATGTTCATCCCATTCCACCATCTTTCCTACCCCACCCCCATTACAGATTAGCATCCACTTATCAGAGAAAACATTCGGCCTTTGGTTTTTTGGGATTATATCCAGTCTTTATTTTTGTTTTGTCTTGTTGCAGTGCTGCAGACTGAACCCAGGGTGTTGTGCATGTGAGACTAGTACTCTACCACTGAGTATTCCTCTAGCCCCAACCTTTCAGTCTTTTTTCTACTTAATTTTACTCAGGGTCATTTTAACCCTCTATGGATAGCATTAAATCTCCTTTCTTGCTCTATAGACAGGACCACTGGCTTTGTAGGAATGAATACCTCATTTGTCCCCCACTAACCTTAACTCCAGGAGTGAGACTGTGTCTCCTTTGCCTTCTACATGTGTGATGGAACCACGGAGATGAACAAGATAAGAACCTTATATTTATAGTTAGGTATGTAGTTAGGACACGAAGGGTCAAGTATCAAAGAAGGTGACATGGAAAAGTAATGCTATAGTCTCGAGGAAACATGATTACTTCTAAAAGGAGAGAGCTGAGATGATTTGAGAAGGATTTTTATTTGAACTGAACATAGATTATATAGAGGTAAAATTACCCTGAGGAAACTCTGAACTTAATTTTTATTCACTCAAAGCAAATACTTTAAATACCTTTTGACACAGCCCTTTTGTTTTTATAGGCCAGAAGGCGTTAGCTGATGCGCAGATCCCCTACTCGGCAGTGGAGCAGGCGTGCGTTGGCTATGTTTATGGTAGGTGGTAAACCACATTTTAAAAATTACTCACCTAGATCTGGCAGCAGCTACATAAATGATAGAGGCTTTTGTGAATTATAAGCCTCAAAATATAGAATTCAGAATCCTATTCTCATCATTATAGGTTTCCTTATGTGTCGACCTACTGTAATTTTTTTTGGTGCCATTATTGTATTGCCAAAACTGTAGACGAATTTAAAAAAAAAACATTTTGATCTTTAAAGAGAAGAATTATCCATAATTCTACCATGTAAGGGTATCTTCATCTATTAGTGTTCAGAAGATAAATTTTACTCTTTGTTGTCTTAAAATTTGTAATTATTGACTTTTTTTGTCTAACAATTTTTCTGATTAGAAAAATGATACACGCTAATTGTTTAAAAAAAGGAACCCCCCCTCCAAAAGCATAAGATGAAACAAGTCACCTCTAATCCTGTTATACAAAGCTGATCTCCACTGATTTACTGATTTATATCCTTTAGTGAGTATATGTGTGTGCATAGCATGTACATAGGATTTCTCTTAAAGAAAATAAAGTCTTTTTTTTTTTTTTTGGTAATCTGCTTTTCTCATTTTACTACATTGAACATTTCCCATCTCATTAAGTCTTCTACCATCATGAACATTTTCTAGTTAAACTTATTATTTTTTGGAATGGATTAAATATTCACTTGATTAAAAAATATGAAAGATTATGTAGTGGTTATATAGTGTGAAGTCTCACTTTTACTCTGTCTACCTGTCCTGTAGTTTTCTTTCCTCATACAACCAGTTTTCCAAATTACTAGTGTATCTTTTCAGAAATAATTCATGCATATATAAACATGTGTGTGCATATGTAATTTCCCTTTCCCCTTACTTTTGTTACCCAAATGGTAGCATAAGTATTATTTTGTATCCTGTTTTTTTTGTTTGTTTAGTGGTTTAAGTTCATATTATAAAGAGCTTCATTAGTCTTTTTTATAGTGTTTTATTAAATAAATGTATCATATTTTATTTAATCCATCCAATTTTGGGGGGGCATGCTGGGAATTGAACCCAGGGATGCTTTACCACTGAGCTATATCCCCAGCCCTTTTATGTTTTTATTTTGAAACAGGGTTTCACTCAATTTCTTAGGATCTTGCTAAGTTGCTGAGGCTGGTTTCAAACTTGTGATCCTCCTGCCTCAGCCTCCTGAATCACTGGGATTACAGGTGTACACCACCATGCCCAGCTAATCCATCCACTTTTTAAAAAAATATTTTATTAAACATTGTTAGGTCTTTATTTTTGTTCATTTGTTTACATGGGGTACTGAAAATTGAACCCAGTGCCTCACACATGCTAGGAAAGTATTCTACCACTGAGCCACAATCCCAGCTCCTAATCCATCCACTTTTAGTGGATATTTAGATGTTCTTTATGTTTAGCATTTTAAAAGTATTTAATTGTTAAATAAATACTGAATATATTTAAGGTGTATAAATGATTTGATATATGTATATGTTGTGTAATGATTATCATAATCAAATTAATTAGCTTATCCATTGCCAATTATGATGTACATTAAATCTCCAGAACTTGTTTATCTTTTTTTTTGGAGAGAGAATTTTTAATGTTTATTTTTTAGTTCTCGGCAGACACAACATCTTTGTTGGTATGTGGTGCTGAGGATCGAACCCGGGCCGCACACATGCCAGGCGAGCGCGCTAC